GGCTGGTCCCAAACCTGCACACAGAAATATCAGCACATGAGACCAGAAGGCATGGCAGGATGTGCAGAATACCCCCATTGAAGAGCATAGGTGCAACAGGTACTCTGAGAGAGAACTCTATCAACATCAGAGGCCTGAGACTGTTCAACACGCTTCCGCTACACATAAGGGGCATAACTGATCGACCCCTCGAAGTGTTCAAGAGAGAACTTGACAAACACCTCCAAAGGATACCTGATCAACCAGGCTGTGACTCATACGTCAGGCTGCGAGCAGCCGCGTCCAATAGCCTGGTTGACCAATCCAGCAACCAGGAGGTCTTGTCGATGACCGGTCCACGGTGTCGCTCAGCCCTGGAATCACCTCACCTCAAGGTAAGGCTTCAACTAGTTGCCACCCCATTTCTGATTTATTGGTGCTCTGAGGAGGGTTATTCTTGGACTTCTCGGGCTGGTTGTGCCAGGGTTTGGGCTTAGTTTGGTCGAGGTGGGCCTTTGATGCCAGTTTCTGAGCCAGTGTGTACCCTGGGGCCTCTTTCTTCTGGTTGGCGCAGTGGTCGCTCTGTACGGAAGTTGGTTTCTCAGAAGTCACGTCGGTTCATTGTTTGAACCGGAGTTTGTTGAAACAATGACCCTGCAGCCAGTTTGTTTCGACCAACTCCAAAGAGCCATGGACCCTGCGGTCTGTGGCTCTTTGGAGTTGGTCGCCTCGGGTAGCTCTTCTTTTGAGTTCTCAGGGTTTAGCTCTCCACGCCGTTCACATTCAGAGAGTGCCCAACATCCTGGCAGATGGTCTGTTGCGCTTCATCCCTCTTTCCACGAAGTGGACGGTCGACACAGACGGTCCTTCCTTTGGCTTTGTCGGACATATGGGCACCCAGAGCCATGCCGACCTCTTTACGTCGGCAAGGCCTTGGTGTCTTCCTTTGTACGTGGCGTTATTCCCTGAATGCAAGGGCATCACGAAGGACGCTGTTTGGCAGGACTAGTCGAGGTGGGGGTTCCTGTACCTTCATCCCCCAGTCCGCTGTTGCATCTCATGCTGAATATTGTCACTTCTTATCGGGTGGCGTTGGCAGAGCCATTTCAGCTTGCGTTCGGAGTGGATGTCACTTTGGCTCCATTCCACAAGCTCTCTCATATATTTTTTCACCTCTGGCCTGCTAATGGCCTAAGCTGTCCTAGTCATTAGACTGAAATTGAAATTGAAATAAGTTTAATGAGATAAAATACACACATAGAGATGAGGTAGCTCAAGCTATTCTCACCCCAATCAGTACAACGTGTTCACACATATATAGACACATATCACAAACAATAAACTTATTACCGAACATTCTGAGAGATAAACATATACATTTCTTCCTTTACACATGTAGACGTACACACAAATACTTGTTGGACTAGGTGCTCTCTTTTCTCTCTTCTCCTCGGTTTATTGTGGTCCCTTTGGTTCGGGATTGTTTCATGAAAGCATTGTTTTTGTTGGCTTTGGCCTCTGGGGGTCTGGTAGGGGGGGAGCTTCATGCTCTTCTCCAACACCAGGAGTTTTGTTCTTTTGATTCTAGTGGTCGTTTTGTTCATTTGCAGTCTTCTCCTTCTGTTCTGGTGAAGAATGAAATGGCTGGCTTCCGGAGGGATCTGGTGGTTGTGGGTGCTTGGTTGGTTAGGCCGTGGGTGCATCACGTGTTGTGTTTGATGGTGCCTTTGCGTTGCTACCTGCGGGCCACTGGTTCAGTGACTGTAAATGCGCTTTGGGTGGATCCGGTTTCCCTGGTTCCCTGTTCCAGAGCTCATGTGTCACAGGTTGTCCACAAGTCATCAAGTCTAGCCAGCCTGCAATCTGCCCTCTTGCCCATGATGTGCGATAATACATTGCTATGGCTACTGTTCGATCTGGAGGTCGAACAGGGTCCTGGCCGCCAGGTATCTTGTGAATGTTCTGGGCCCTCTCCGGCCTTGTGTTGCTTTGGGACGTCTGTTGTGGCCTGGTGTCTCATCTTCGTCTTGAGACATGCGGTGCTGCTGCCTCTCAAGTAAGTCCTTATATTATTTATCTGTGGGTAGTTAGCTTCAGGGAGCCGACGGGGTTTCTCACAGAAAACCAGCATTGAATGTAATGAAAAGCCCTTTTCTGGGTGAACCCCAGAGGCTCCCTGACACCCTTCTTCCTTCCATATGGTGGTTCATCATTCAAGAACTGAAACATGCAGCGGCTGGCTCGCCTCACAACCTCCCTTTCAGGGGAGAAGGGGAGGTGCTAACGAGTATATGCACTAGTTGGATGATGTATTGCTTTTTATTTTTATTTTGGGGGGATCTATTTTGCCTTGTTTAGATGTAGGTTGCAATTTTCACCAGCTTGGGGTTTGTATTGTTTTGCCTATCTTTCTGGGTGCATTTCCTGGTCGATGGCAAGTATGACATACTCTAAATGTAGAGGGGCTCATAGGCAATTGCTCCCTGTGCTTCAAGAAAAATGAACTTAATTTTTTTAACCTCCCAGAACAACCGCCGTGTGCTCGGTGGTTGTGTCTGTCCCACCATTTGTTGCTGTCCAAGTGTGGTAGGTAGGTTGGGCCCTCTTCCTCAGCACGGGGGGCATGGGCATCATCACCCTGCTGTTTCTGTAAGAGTGTGAATGGTGAGGGTGAAGGAGCTTAGGAGGCCGAAGGGGAAGCTGGCCATGAATAGAAGAGTGCGCAGTATATGATTAAACAATGTATGCATACATAAGTACATAATGCAGAGTACATAATTATATAAATAATGAGTATAGGGGATATGCATTGCAGGACGTAATCAATTGTGAGATATAAACTTATCTCATGAGTATAAAGCATAATTAAGAGTCGTCCAAACATAATATGCTTATGAGTACAGAACCCAAAGCTGGAGAATGAGATAAAATGCAGAGTATATAAATACATAACATCCACAACACGTAGACTCGTGTCAAAGCTCTCTCTAAGCACAGTCCTGTGGCAACAGGAAGAAGTGTGAGAATGTACGAATGAACACGCCCAAAGGCACATCTGCCAGTCACCAGGAAGCAAAGGGAATTACAGTACAAGGCTAAAATGGGCACGGGACATGGCAGAAAGAAGTGGCCTTAAGACAAAAGTAAGGAGGATACTGGTGGGAGGTGAGTAGGGTAGAAGACATGAGCGTGGCAATGATAATGGCTTCAGAGAAGTAGGAGACAAATAATTCCTGTGGCATGGAGAGGGGGGAAAACCAGAGCAGTGTTAGAAGACAAGAAAAGATAGATAAACAGGCTTGTCCGCAGGTCAGGAAATAAAGGCTAAAATAAGGAGAGCGAAGAAAAGGCTGAAATGAAGGACGCAAGGTAAAGGCTGAAATGAAGGAAGCAAAGTAAAGGCAGCGAGAGACTGGCTACAAATAAGTCCGGGTGGAAAGGGCAATAATTAATCAACTGTTAGAAAGGCCACATTATTAAATTTCCTGCTAGCACAATACTAACCCATTGCATGCGGTAACCCCTGCTGGCGTAGAAGGTGGAGCAGAGCAGACACACCCCCAGCTGGAGGGAGAAAGCCCCCCCCCCCCTTCCGAGACGTGAGTGAGGTGGCAGGAGTCGACTGGGGAGGGGTGGGTTTCCTGGATACAATGTCAGGCAAGGAGCACCTGGAGGGCCATCCGGGCCATCCATGTCCGGAGGTCAACAAAGCCTCCACCCCCAGGAAGCAGCCCGTGACAGCTGACTAACTCCCAGGTACCTATTTACTGCTAGGTAACAGGAGAATCAGGGTGAAAGAAACTCTGTCCATTGTTTCTCACCGGCACCCGGGATTGAACCTGGGACCACAGGATTACACGTCCAGTGTTCTGTTCGCTCAGCCAGGCAGGTGGCAGGTGGCAGGGGGTGGTGGGAGTTAAGTTCAAATTCCCGCTCAAAGTGCCCTCATAGGTCAGCGGGCTGGCGGAAGTCAGGGTGGTCAAGTTGAGGTCAGGGACCTCAGATGTGGGCACTTGTTCCATGTAATAAGCTGCGAATGGAAGGCTGAGGAACTTGGATATTATTCAGGTGTCATCTATGTTCATGCACGTGGTTCTGTTGGGTCTGCGTGTTGAACAAGTGGGCATTGTTGATGGAGGGGCGATCTTAGTGCCACAAGGGCACCCTGGCTGGTACTTGTACCCCTGGAGGGGTAGGTTACAGAGATCATAAGGAAGACCTGAAGAGTTCCTGGTGACAGGGATCATGTGGCATGGTGCTGTACTTGTGGGTGACGTAGCCAAGCCCAGTGTCCTCTGCATGCTCATGGGGGCCAGATGATGTAATGAGGTCCACTGGATAGACTATTATGAGTATGACATTGAATTCCTGATGGTAGCAGTCTGTGGCTGGTGGTGGCGACGGTGTCCGGAACACGTGTTGAGGCAAGGTGGTGGAGCGGAGGTGGGGAGCGTGTGGCATGAGCTATGGGTGCTTGCATAGAGGGGTGTTGAGCGGTCGGCATCTTCAGGCTTTTAGAGGAGGTCGTAACCCCATGCTGACTGCTTTAAGTACCCCGCTTTGGTGCACGCGTACTCAGGTGAAACCCCGTGAGGCAGATGTTTTCTTCCTACAGAAACTTTCCCATTTTTCCAAGCAGGATCATATCTTACTGACTCAGACAAGTATGAATGAACATTGTACACCAGGACATATTTTCCAATGAAAGCCAGTGATAAACAATCAAATAAAAATTCAACATGAACACTGGAGTTGTATCTTCTATACAACAGTGTCATCAAAGTCATTATTGGGTGTTGACGTATGTCTCTACACATCGCTACCTAGTAACCCTTCATAACTCTTCCAACCAGTAAAAATGTATATATTTATATTTTTTAAGTTTTCCTTACATTTTGCATACAAATGAATAATTCTAAAAGATAATTTTTTTGGGGGGAGGGGGGGGGGGGAATTTTATATTTTTTGTGTATAGGCACCTCTACTATCACTCTTAATATTGCTTTTTCTTTCTCTACCAGGCAAGGCATTCGACATCACTTATGTACGTCTCTTCTTCCACTCGCCACGACCCGAATCCTTCGCTATCTTCAAGCGACGCTACCAGGAGGAAGAGTGGACTCCCTACCAGTACTACAGGTCACTCCATATATCAATTTTGACAACATGGTGCTTTGTAGGATTTGCTTAAAAATGTTTAAATTGCATAATTGTTTTGGGTGGTTACCTTACCTTGAGGTTACCTTGAGGTGCTTCCGGGGCTTAGTGTCCCCTCGGCCCGGTCGTCGACCAGGCCTCCTGGTTGCTGGACTGATCAACCAGGCTGTTAGACACGGCTGCTCGCAGCCTGACGTATGAGTCACAGCCTGGTTGATCAGGTATCCTTTGGAGGTGCTTATCCAGTTCTCTCTTGAACACTGTGAGGGGTCGGCCAGTTATGCCCCTTATGTGTAGTGGAAGCGTATTGAACAGTCTCGGGCCTCTGATGTTGATAGAGTTCTCTCTCAGAGTACCTGTTGCACCTCTGCTTTTCAACGGGGGTATTCTGCACATCCTGCCATGCCTCCTGGTTTCATGTGATGTTATTTCTGTGTGCAGGTTTGGGACCAGCCCCTCAATTATTTTCCACGTGTAAATTATTATGTATCTCTCCCGCCTGCGCTCAAGGGAGTACAGATTTAGGCTCTTTAGTCGGTCCCAGTAATTTAGATGTTTTACTGAGTGGATTCTAGCAGTAAAGGATCTCTGCACGCTCTCCAGGTCAGCAATTTCTCCAGCTTTGAAAGGGGCTGTCATTGTGCAGCAGTACTCCACTCTAGAGAGCACAAGCGTTTTGAAAAGTATCATCATCGGTATAGCATCTCTAGTGTGGAAAGTTCTTGTTATCCAACCTGTCATTTTTCTTGCAGTTGTGACGGCTACTTTATTGTGTTCTATAAAGGTAAGGTCTTCCGACATGAGTACACCCAGATCCTTTACATTGCCTTTTCGTTCTATGTTATGATTTGCCTGAGTTTTATACGTGGTTTCTGTTTTTATATTTTCAATTTTTCCGTAGCGCATGAGCTGGAACTTATCCTCGTTAAACACCATATTATTTTCTGTAGCCCATAGAAAGACCTGATCTACATCTGATTGGAGGTTTGCCGTGTCCTCTATGTTGCCAACTCTCATGAAAATCCTAGTGTCATCTGCAAAGGATGATACAGTGCTATAGGTTGTGTTCTGGTCTATGTCCGATATGAGGATGAGAAAAAGTACTGGAGCAAGCACAGTACCCTGGGGGACTGAGCTCTTCACGGTTGATGGGCTGGATTTTATTTTGTTGACTATTACACATTGGGTTCTGTTAGTCAGGAAATTGTAGATCCATCTGCCTATTTTCCCGGTAATTCCTTTTGAACGCATTTTATGTGCAATAACACCATGGTCACATTTATCAAAGGCTTTTGCGAAATCTGTGTAAATTACATCAGTATTTTGTTTGTCTTCCATAGCATCTAATGCCATATCATAGTGGTCCAGCAACTGGGACAGGCAAGAGCGCCCTGTTCTGAAACCATGTTGTCCGGGGTTATGGAGATGCTATGATTCCATGTATTTTGTGATCTTACTTCTTAGCACTCTCTCAAAAATTTTTATGATGTGCGATGTTAGTGCTATCGGTCTGTAATTTTTTGCCTCTGCCTTATTTCCTCCTTTATGGAGTGGTGCTATCTCTGCTGTTTTTAGTATGTCAGGGATAACGCCAGTATCTAGGCTTTGTTTCCACAGAATTTGAAGGGCCTGCGATAGTGGTTTTTTACAGTTCTTGATGAATATGGAGTTCCAAGAATCCGGGCCTGGTGCATAGGCATACTGTTTATGGCTTCTTCAAAATCTAGTGGGGATAGGGTGACGTCTGATATATGATTTGATGTTGGTATCATATCCATGAAAAATTCATTTGGGTTATCAATCTTTAGTGCATTTAATGGCTCGCTGAAAACAGAGTCGTACTGCTTCCTCAGTAACTCGCTCATTTCTTTGTTGTCATCGGTGAAAGTTCCATCTACCTTTCGCAGGGGCCCGATACTAGATGTGGTTTTTGATCTTGATTTTGCATAGGAGAAAAAATATTTCGGATTTCTCTCTATTTCACTGATGGCCTTTTGCTCTCTTTGCCTCTCCTGGGTTTTGTATGATTCTTGTAGCTTGAGTTCAATTGTTTCTATTTCTCTACCTAACCTTCTTTGCCGTTCTTGAGATAGTGTGCGACTCTCAAGTTGTTCCGCGATTCATTTTCTTCGCCTATATAGGGAACGACGTTCCCGTTCCAATCTGCATCTCTCTCTTTTTTCTTAGGGGTATGCGGTTTGAACATATTTCTAGTGCTACTGAGCTTATTTTTTCCAGGCACTGGTTCAGGTTTGCATTTTCTAGTTGTTCTTCCCAGTTTATTTCTGTGAAGTCCTGGTTTATTTGCTCCCAGTTTATCTGTTTATTATTGAAGTTGAATTTGCTGAAATCTCCTCCACCGGGAATCTGGACTGGTTTTGAAGGTCTATTCCCCATGGTTGTCAGAACTTCAATTAAGTTGTGATCTGAGTAACAGGTATTTGTAATCATTATGTTCCCGATCAACTCATCATTATTAGTGAAAATGAGGTCCAGCGTGTTCTCCTTCCTAGTTGGGTATACCTGTTGCCTAAATTAATTTTTAATTGCATAAAGTTTTTTTGAGGATGATTGTTAAAATTTTGCTGCTGAATATTGTAGTGGAAACTCCATTATCTGGATCCCCCATTTGCTGGATCTTTGGATTATCCAAAGTATAGAAGTTTCTGGTTCTCCAACCCTACTAATCATATTGGATTGGATTAATGAATGCTAACCTGTATTATTTGTAAATTCTCTGCAGGATTTGGCAACAAAAACTAAGTTATACCAGATAAGGTTAAATTGGCTTTCTACATATAGTACTGAAATATGTTAGTCCATTCCTTTTAAAACTCCATAACAGGTACTCATAGTGCATTTGTCTATTAAAATAAATACCAAAATACAGTTGCAAAAATTGCCCACCTCTTCCCAAAGAGGTGGGCTCTTCCTCTCTTTCTCTTACCTCTTTTACCTTACCTTACCTCTCTTCCTCCTCTTCCTCTTACCTCTTTCAAAGAAAAATGCAGTCTTTTTTTATTATTTGGATTTCAGTTATCCAGATCAGAGGAAGTAATTGGTCTGGATAATTGAGGTTCCACTGTGCTGTTTTTTTTTTAAATTGACCACTGTTTTAGTATTGCATATTTTCAGTAAATTGCAGGTAACAATTTTAAGGCCAGTACTAATTTATAACAGCATGTTTGACCCCCTCCCTCATCCTCTCTCCACAGTGCCACCTGCCGCGACACGTACGGCATTCCGGACTCAACCTATGTTAGGAGAGAAGACGAAACACGGGCCCTCTGCACCTCTGAATTTTCTGACATCTCCCCATTGACAGGTGGCAACGTGGCTTTCTCCACCCTCGAGGGTAGACCATCAGCTTACAACTTTGAGAACAGCTCCCAGCTCCAGGTAGAATACTGTTTCTGAAATCTGTTTCTGTATATGATTTCTCCAGTTCATCTCATCTTTGAATATCCATCTTACATCTCCTCAAATGCTTCCTTCTCATTTGCCATCATCTCAGTCCCATGCCCAACATGCAGAAATTGACCTAAAAAATAATTAAATGACATTTAAAAGAAACAGAAAGGAATGTGCATTTAAATGACTTGACCACTAATTACAAACTGTGTTGTCTCAATAATAATAATAATAATAATTCTGTAATAATAATAATAATAATAATAATAATAATAATAATAATAATAATAATAATAATAATAATAATTGGTTTACATGAAGGTACAATGGGTTTGTGAGATTACACAATATTAGTGTAATCTCTTATTACTTTCTTGTAATTATTTTCTGGCAAAGCCTCTAACACACACATAGCATTATGGGCAGGTCCTTAATCTAACATATCAGCTAAAATGAAAAAGTACATTGTAGCAAAAATATATATCAGCATATAACTAAAATACAAATTGACAGAGGTGAGTACATTAGTGAGGATACATGTCTTAAATACTAATATTGGGGGAGTGGGTAGCACAAGATACAGTGTGAGTTTGAAGCACAAGGTAGGATACTATGAGGATGAAAATATAAGCTTTCTGGGGGGATCCCCTTGTAAGACCACTATAAAATGCCACCATTGTAACACCACTATTATGGATACTAAACTAATAATGTAAACACTACTTATCCTGAGTAACACTTCCTATCGGTTGCACTTGGTAACACTGTTATTGAACACTGTAATATGAGCTGACATATGATGGTTACACTGGAACCAAAAGGTACACTGCAAAACAAGGAAATGCTACACAGGATTAAATATGCTGCCACCATCTGCCTTTGACCATTGAGACTATATCAAGCAACGAGGCAAGAAACATTGCTAGACTTGGAGAGTACTTTCTATGACTGTCATTAATTATGGGATGGTTGTCAGCCACTATATCCAAAAGGCTAAGAGGATTCAACAATTGACACAGACGGGAAATTTAACATGAGTTTATTGAGATACCAAAATTATGCTAATCAAAACTTATAAATCCTACTCTAACACTGGCCAAAAGTTAAGAAATTTAGACATAGAACAAAACCTCAGAGATCACACACATTACCTTAAGACCTCTGTCTCTCCATCCGGTGGGTTCACGCTGTCACTCCCTCTTTGAGATGTTCTTCACAGACCCTCTCTCGACCCCGGTGTCCCGCACTCTGTCCCTAAGTCTCTACAGGACCAAATATATACCCTCGAAAAAGGGGGAGGGGAAGATTTACTGTTGCTATCTAGATCAAAAATGCCAGGGGGGGTCGGGCCACACGTGCACAAACACTTAAAAATATTTCAATTAAGCTTGTTTGACATTCATCATACACTCTTCAAGAGAGGAGTTATTAATTATGTGTGTGACTGACCTTTGACCTGGCTAAAAGGGGGAGATCCATGGATGTTTACACCTAAGAATTTGGGGTCTAATTCCATTGCAATGTTTGACAAGAGTATCATGAAATATTACATACTTGAAACTAGCTGACTAAGACTAACCCAGGAATTTTTTAATCAACATACAAGATAATCCGGAGGTCATCTGGGCTGACCTCTTGGAGAGGGTTTCCCTGGGTGTGAACTCTCGGGGGGGGGGGGGGGGGTGGGTCTTGGGTGTTACACCCTTCAGCTCCCCGGAGCTATCCGGGCTGATATAAATGTATTAGACCCTGGCATCAGTCAAAGCGAATGGAGTTCTAGGCCTATCAGGGACCACGAGCCAGAACCTGGCCCCCTCAGAGAGGCACGAGGAGTGTTGGCCTATAGAGACCCCCCATGTAGTTGGAAGCATTCTATGTCTGCCATTGACCGGGTCAGGCACCCAGAAAATAAGGCACCCCAAAACAAACCCTATCTGGTTAAAAAATTGCTACCAAAAGCCGAACTATTGGACAGAACTCCCCAAATGAAAAACGAGCAAACAAGCATGACATCACCACCATCACTGAGCCCCAGACCTCCCACGCCCATTATCCACCTTTCAGTTCTGTGGCTTATGTGAGACCTTGGTGGTCGTGTGACTCTAGCTCCGGATTTGTTTCAGTGCCTTGGTGTCTACCCGAGTCCTCGCTCGATGTGTTCATGGACGCGTCATCTCTTGGCTGGAGCTTCGTGAACAGAGCTCACCAGGCTGCCCAGGGGCGGTGGGGTCCGTCCTTCCGTTGGGCACACATCATGGTGCGGGAGTTCACGGCTGTGTGGATATCACTTCGGAGGATTCAGGTCGCTTGCAGATCCATGATCTGGCTCCATTCGAACTGCTCCCCGGTGATTATTTCCTGAACATTCAAAGCGGTCCTTAGCTCTTTGGGGTTGGTCGCTTCAGGTGACTCGTCTGCTGAGTTCTCGGGGTTTGGCTCTCCTGACCGTTCACTTTCGGGGGGGTTATCCAACGTCCTGGTGGACGGCCTGTCTCAGTTCATTCCCCTGTTCACGGAATGGACAGTCGACGTTGACTTGTTCATTTGGCTCTGTCGGACGTATGGGCTCCCGGAGATGGATCTCTTTGCATCAGCGTGGTCAAAGCGTCTCCTGATATATGTGGCGCCCTTCCCGACTGGAAGAGTAAGACTTACCAAGGAAGAGTAGTCCTGTTGGCACCTTGGTGGCAAGCCCAACCTTGGTTTCAGGTGCTGCTTGCTCTGTGTCTGAACCTGGGGAGGTCTTCCTGCGACTCCACCTCTTTCCGCAGATGGGGCCAGTCTGTTACATAGTTGGTTCGATTTTCTCCTCAAATCTTCGCATCTGGTCTTTCTGACATGGGTCTATCACACTTGTATGGTGAGCAGGTGACTTTGTTGAAGTGTCCCACCTTTGTGCTTCGTCTCGGCAGCAGTATGAAGTTTCCTAGCGGTCCTTTCGTTATTTCTTGGCCCTCTGTAGGTTTTCTTCTATTTCAGTTTCGGTTGTCTTGTCCTTCCTTTCATGGCTGTTTCAGGACTGTCTTCTTATTCTGAATACTGTTGCCTCGTATCGTGTGGTGCTGGCAGAGCTGCTTCAGCTAGTGTTTTGGGTGGATGTTACTTCTGCTCCATTCTGCAAGCTGTCTCCTGCATTGTTTCACCTCTGGCCTGCTCATGCACCACCTGAGCCGTCCTGGTCATTGGAGAGAGTGCTCTCCTTTCTCTCTCTTCCTCGGTTTGTTGTGGCCTCTTCGGTTCAGGATTGTTTTGCGATGGCTCTTTTCCTGTTGGCATTGGCCTCTGGGGGTTGGGTTGGGGAGCTTCATGCTCTTCTCTGGCATAGGGGTTTCTGCTCTTTTGGTCCTGGTGGTAGGGGTGTTCATTTGCAGCCGTCTCTTTCTTTTCTGGCGAAACATTTCTGGCGAAGAATGCTTTCCAGAGGGGTCTTTGGTAATATGTCTTGGGCTAACATTCGGGCACTGGATTTTTGGAGGTTAAACAGAGTCCTGGCTGCTCACTACCTGGTCAATGTTCCGGGCTCTAGTCGGGCATGTGTTGCATTGAGTCTGCGGTTGCAGCCAGTTGTCTTGACTTCGAATTGAGGAGAAAGTGGAGACCGCCTCCTGGGTAAGTCCATCTTGTTTTATCTTTTGGTTAAGTAACTTTAAGGAGCTGTAGGAGCTCCCACAAAAAACAAGCCTTAAATATAATGAAATACCATTTTTTGAATGAGACCCGGAGGCTTCCTGGCAACCCTCCTTCCCACTGGTCGGTAGTTTTTCACGGGTTTTGACATCCAGCCTCAGAACTGAAGGTGTGGATAGCCGGCATGGGGTCTGGGGCTCCCCTTTCCCCCTCCCAGGGAGCGGGGAGCTGTGCAACTAGTGGCGCGGTGACGGTTGTGACATCAGTACCAGTAGCGCGAGCACTCAGCGTAATATGGAGAAAGAGCCTGGATACAGGGGAGATACCAGCTGCACTTAAATCTGCAGATATAGCTCCTCTGCACAAGGGGGGTAGTAAAGCCTTGGCAAAAAATTATAGACCAGTTGCACTAACATCACACATAATAAAAGTGTTTCAAAGAGTGATTAGGAATCAAATTTCTAGTTTTATGGAAAGTAATGAGCTATACAATCCAGGACAACATGGATTTAGAGCGGGCAGATCCTGTCTGTCACAGTTACTCAACCACTACTCAACCACCGCGATACAAAGATGCGAGAAACAACTACACGGCAGTGAGGAGAGAGGCAGAAAGAAATTTTGAAAAAGAGATTGCAATCAAATGAAAAACAGAACCAGGTCTATTCTATAAATTCATAAACAACAAATTGCAGGTAAAGGATAATATTCAGAGGTTGAAAATGGGAAATAGATTCATGGAAAATGAAAAGGAAATGTGTGAAATATTAAACAAAAAGTTCCAAAGTGTGTGTGTACAAAATGAAATCTTCAGGGAACCAGACACAATAAGAATTCCACAGAACAACATAGAGCACATAGAGGTGTCTAGAGACAAAGTGGAAAAAATCCTCAAGGAGCTAAGTAAGAAGAAAGCAGTTGATCCAGATGGAGTTTCACCATGGGTTCTGAGAGAATGTGCACCTGAGCTCAGCATTCCACTTCAACTGATTTTTCAGGCATCCCTGTTTACAGGAGTTGTAGCTGATGTGTGGAAAAAGGCTAATATAGTTCCAATCTACAAAAGTGGAAGCAGAGAAGACTCCCTTAATTATAGACCTGTATCACTGACAAGTGTAACAGTCAAAATATTGGAAAAAATAATTAAAACTAAATGGATAAAATACCTGGAGAAAAACGATATAATATCAGACAGACAGTATGGTTTTCAATCTGGAAGATCCTGTGTAACAAACTTACTCAGTTTTTATGATCGAGCCACAGAGATTTTACAGGAAAGAGATGGTTAGGTTGACTGCATCTATCTGGACCTAAAAAAGGCTTTCGACAGAGTTCTCCATAAGAGGTTGTTCTGGAAACAG